TCAGAAGAGGTAGCTATCTGAGCGATGAGTACTATAAGCTTAATGTAACAGCGTTATGCGCCAATTAATCGCGCTAACACTCATGTAACTACCAGTGCCATATAGCCATTATAGGTATAAATTGGGTCATCGAGAAAGGGAGTCACTGGAGAAGAAAGGGACGGGTAGTTGTTTTAGAATTTTATTGGTAATGCCCTACAAATACGCAATGGACTACCCGTGCCGGAATTCTTATATATATTCATAATCGCTGACCTGATTTTGTGTGTTTATTAAATACGTAATCGACATTTACTACGAGAAAGATTATCTAGAGAAACAGAAAGTGAAACTTGTGCAATATTTTTTTGACATTGTCGAAATCGCTATTATTATAGCCGCAGCTCTACGGGTTATTAGTCTTATCTTTTGCTAACACGATAACCTAGAGAGCATAATTATTTTAAAGGTACAGGAACAAACGATATTTTATGTCAACATGATTAATAGATGTTACTGAAAGTTTTATCGTTATAAAACGATAATTAATTTCCGATTTGTAAATGTCTCAAGCAGGTGTTCATAGATTTATAGTCGCTATGCTTCATAAAGTCGGCAAATGGTGTTGCCTGTAATAAAAACACTTAGGCGGGTTTTAACGAAGAGATTTTATTCATTTACGCACGTTGGAGACAGATTTGAAGCACTAACATTTTACATCGTGATTAAATGCTAAAAACGCTTTCTTTTTTTTATTATGTTAGTGTGTATCAAGTTTCGGTACTAAGCAGTTTTATTTGCATCATCATCTGCTGGGGCTCAGGCCTTCCCTATGGATGGAATCGACTTATATCGTATAGGGAGAATGGATCATAACCACGCGAGCTCAGCGCGCATTGGTGGTAGTTGCTAACGACTGCACCTGCAGCCAGGACTAACAGTTTAACGTGCCTTCAAAAGCACGGAGGAGCTTGGTTCAATAAATTTTTTGGTCACCCGTTTTATTACCGGCTCTTGCGAAAGTATCTTAACTTTGACATGGCAGGCTGAACGCGCTACCACTGGAGTAGTAATTGGGAAATCTGGCACATGGTTTTTGGGAATGGGTCTGGGGTCTGATACTGGAGATCTAGTACTCAAATACTCGAGCAAAAACCGCTTTACGCTCGGGTATTTGAGTTCTGATTTATCTGAGAACTCCAGATCAGACCTCAGACCCATACCCGGGTAGTGTGCTCCAGACTTTCCAATTTTATATTACTCACTGCTCCGAAGTACCAAAATAATATAGGTACGAGTACCTTTACATAGTATCAAACAAAGTGGCGTCCCGATATCTGTCTGTACGCTGAGATCTTTTAAATTACACAACGGAACAAACAGTGATCCAAGAGGATATGTATGATGCAGGATCACGTGGGCAAATCCGCTGGTAGAAAGCTAGTATCTAATATAACGTTTTATTAACTCTCTGGCAAAATTCCAAATATAGATTTTAATAATCTACAAAATCCCTCGACTACCTTATTAATTTACTACAAACCCAGGAAACTCCGTCCGGAGCTGCCATCGCTATTTCCGCCTCCAATCGCAATTAGATTGTAACAGTGAAGAAAATGAAGGAGCTTAGACATTCTTTTAGTTTTAAAATTAATTTAATTAATTCGTTACGTAGAATTCACGGAGTAACGCTCAGACTGCATTCGGAATGAAGAGATAAGAAAGATAGTTGACTTGAAAGATAGCGTCGGTTTAAAAATGAAACATGCTATATACATTCGAACATGTAAAAAAAATTTAGATGATAGAATAAAAAAAAATGATAAAACGAGGAAGTGAAAAGATGCAGAAACTGAGGAAGGCCACGACACACCTTTCATGATCAAATCAATAGCGTGCCGTTAGAATGTGATGTCAGAAGCTATAAAAGCCGGCGAGTGTGTAATGAATGTAGACCAGGCGAAAGATATATAAGATGATAAAGAAAGATGTAAGATATAATATAAGGTCCGTACTTTGTGACGTTCGCCGTACATTGATTTATTAATGAGAGTGTATGACGCGGCAACCGGCATATGAATCACTAATCGAAATTATCTGTCTTATTGTATCTGATATTGTAATGACTATGAAGTCACTTTCCAATAACAGGAAGAAAAGCTCAGCTCCCGCTGAGTCTCTTGCCGGTTCTCAGTACGAGGTCTCCCGCCGTAGTTTTGCGAACCGCTGGCGTAAAAAAATAAGCTTAGACTCAATAAACGATTTTGTTTTGATTCGTTCCTCTCTGCCTGCCCCGCAAGGGATACCGCGTGTAGATATAGATAGATAGACAACTCTTTATTGTTAACAATATACTATTTACAGAAACAAACAAATTAAACTTAAATAATATGCAAACAATTGGCGGCCTTGTCGCTTAAAACGATTTCTTCCAGGCAACCTTTGAATGGAGAGATAGTCATTCTAACGGAGACGGGGGTGTAGATGTGAACAACAATATACAATTAGTACAATTAGATATAGATAGATTATAAAATGTGCCCATATTTCATTATTATGATTATGTTTTATAACACACATAAAATGTACATGCAATTCGTAGAGATACCACAGATTGACAAAAAAAAATACAATTCAGCTTCACAGATCTAAACCAAAACATAATAAATGTGGCGTTCCTCAAGGCAGTATTCTAGGCCCTTATTTTTGCTGTACATAAATGATTTACCTGACATTACAAAATTTAAGTCGGTACTATTTGCTGATGACATTTCTATTATTGTTTCAACGAAAAGTACCTTAGAACAACACAAACTTGACATCACAAATACAATGACATCAATTATTAATTGGCTTCAGAATAACAATCTTAAGGTTTTAGTAAAAACTAATATAATTAATTTCAATAATTTTAAAAATCAATCAGTAGATGTATCTTTTAATGGACAAACTCTACAGAGTGCTCCAAATGTAAAATTTCTGGGCTTAATAGTTGATCCTAAATTCAGTTGGAAAGAGCATATAGAAAAAGTGTGCAATAAAGTGAACTACTTTTTCTTCGCGTTATATAAACTTACAAAAGTAGCAAGTGTAAATACGGCTATCATGGCCTATTTCGCATATGTAGAATCAAACTTAAGATATGGTTTATTAATTTGGGGAAAGGACATTGATACTAAAATTCTTTTTGTTGCTCAAAAAAGATGCATTCGTGCTATATGCAATCTAAAGCCGGATATTTCTTGCAAGCCTTACTTTAAAACTCTCCAAATTTTGACACTACCCTGTCTTTATATTTTAGAGGTTTGCGTATTTGTAAAATTAAATAGTAAAAAGTTTACACAAGCACAGGATTTGAGCCAAAGATTAAGAAGAAACCCTGAAAGACTAGTTTTGAAATTCGTCCCTATAACTCAAAGATTTCAGAATAGCAGTAACGCCATGTGCCAAAAAATAAATAACAAAATACCCAATAATTTCAAACTATTACCGTCTAACCGATTCAAATCTATTTTACGTAAATGGTTATTGGAAATGGCATTTTATTCTATTGATGATTTTTTAAACCATGCTACTAGATAAATTAATAGTCAAAGCTATATAAGTTAACACAAAGTTTAATTGCTATATGATTTGTATCTCTTTCATTGTTTTGACGCTATTAATTACGAAATTCTTTATATTGACTTTTATTATTGTGACATTTAATCTTCAAAATGATAATGATTATGGTAATTTTAGTGAATATGTTAATTTTGTATAAAAATTGTATTTAATTAATTTTGATAATAATTTGATTGTTTTTACCGGTAATGAAAAATTAATTAAATTTTTAATTTAATATTTGCATGCTATCTTTGTATGGCTAAATAGGTTTTAAGTTTTAATTTTATTTTAATTAATTCCTATCAAATTGTACCCTATTTAAAGGCAAATATATATCTATATCTATACAAATGGTAGACTAAATAAAATAAGGAAATATCTACCAGTCAACCGATCACAAATCTGCTATTACTGCGTTCGTCGACTAATTACAGGAGGTTTATGTAAAAACTGTAAGCTGTACGAATGTTCAATAACGTATTTTAGCACAGAACAGAACCATTTATCTGATAATGATCTCTAAATTCTGAAATTACAGCAATTATTTTAATAGCTTGCCTGTTAGTGTTCTAATTAGTAATGGGTATCATAATTCGCGATATTAAATTAGGACAAAGTTGGTCTGAAATTAATTGGTTAAATTAAGTAAATTTATCATCCCTATAATATAAAATGACCATAAGATTTCTTAAGATTTTGAGCGAATTAAATTAGGTAAACGATTTCAAAGGAAGTTATTTATTTTTTACATTTTACTTAAATATTTATATTTCATTATACGTAATTCTTTGTCAATTTAATTTTTATTATAGCGTCTCCATCTGTAAACCGACATGGCTTGTTAACGTATATATTATTTGTCATCTGGAGGCTATTCATTAGTCCTTGAAAAAAAATTGCAATATTTCGATAATTTTGTTAAAGTCGTATGAAGATTATCTGTACATCAGAGGCAGTGTCAGGTCCTACTTCAATTGTAACACAAATAAATAGAAAATTTTGTTTGTTTGGAGTCGTATTAGCGTTTCGAAAACAAACGAAATTTCGGTTTCGAAAAACAGAATAGGCTTTCGTCCTCTAGTCGCGTCTATGGTCACCTTATTGTCACGCGTTTAAGTGCGTGTCACGTGCCTCAGCACGGTGATGGGACATAAATGTCACGGTAATAAAGCCGCACAAAGCCTCGTGACGAAAGCAATCTGTCGCCATGATATAATGCTAACCCGAAAAGTTTTTGTCACTGTAGTACAGCTCATTTAATGCAATATCTATACTCTATACAAACGAATAAAATTGGAGTCTCTGTTAAAAAATAATAGCTTTAAAAGTGCATGTCGGCTATGTCCTCAACTTTGGCAGCGCGAAGCTCTGAAATTAAACGTGTTATGTTCATAAGAATCATTTTTTCATTTTTTGTCTTGTCTGTCATCACGTTGTTCCGGCTAATCTTTGAAACGGCTGGACGGATTTTGATGGGACTTTCACTGGCAGATAGCTTATATAATAAGAAGTAATTCTGTCTGGCTGTTCACTCGGACGAAGTCGCGAGCACAACTAATTTAATGATAAGATTATCTATAATGTAGTCAAGATATTGTAAGGCATGTAGTGTGATTTAGATAATTTAGATAGGCAAGCAAGAGTGATTTAGATATCAAATTATTTCTTGTTGTTTTTGCAAATGTGGTTGAATTCTTCCCACAGTATAGGTTTGTTTATATCTACAGACATCGCGAATGCCAAATATGGCACAGACACTACTCGGCCGCGCTGACAAACAGCGCGTAGTCCTAATCTGTGGGTGTCTGTTAGTATCTGTTGACATCTGTGGGTGTCTGTAAGCGTCTGTGGGTATCTGTAGGTGTCTGTTGGGGTCTGTGGCCATCTGTTGCCGTCTGTGGGTGTCTGTGAGGATCTGTGGGTATCTGCGGGTGACTGTTGGCGTCTGTGAGTGTCTGGTGCCGTCTGAGCTACTCTTGTGGTCATGTTACTTTAGATGTAAAAAAAGTTATTAGAAATTATAGTGACGAATATTATAGTTTTCTTTGCCCGCACGTCTGGCACGCTCAGTGTTTGTAGATATAAAATAACCTATGTAATATATGTAGAAGAAAGTCACTAGTGTTGCTATGATAACGAAAAACGCTTCTATAACTTTTCATTATACATACGAAATAACTGAGGCATATAATAAGCTTCTAACGAAAAACGTAAAATAACATATCGATACATATTTAACGAAGCTTTTATTCTATTATGATTATATTCCGTCCAAAATGTATCCGGAGTTGTAAAAAAAACACATGAAATTGAAGCCTAATATTTATGTACTCAATGTTAATGGAAAGAAAAATAAAAGCTGAGTTGCTTTTCTTAACGAATGAACAATTGCTGTTTTTCCATCCTTCTTAAGGAAAATTAAAATTAATTTCTAACTGTGTAAGGATAGGTAATAGTCTTACTAATATTATAAATGCGAAAGTTTGAGGGGATATATAATGTTTGTTACTCTTCATACAAAAATTACGGAATGGATTTGGTTGAAATTTGGCATACGTGTTATCCCACTAAAAGGGTTCCTAGTATGTAATATTTTTGGATTAAAAACTTTCCTGTTATGCTTTTATTTAGAAAAGTTTTTGGTATAATACTTTTTGGGTAAATTACACATTTCTTTTATACAACCAAACTAATATTATAGCGATGAAATACGTCATTAGTTCTGAGTTTGCATTTGAATAGGCTCCGAAACTAGTAGGCCAATTTCGTTTTTTTTTTCACTTACGAAAAGTTATCCTATGCGGGTAACATAGGCTTTAATTTACGTTAGCAAATTCGTGGGAGTATGGATGGTAATATTAAAACAAATAAGGGTTGATAGGTAATCCAAAGAGATTAATACTCGTATTGCGAGTCCGTTTTGGGCCAGCGCGGAGGATTATGGCCTATCTTCCTTGACCAGGTCAACTATTAGGCTAACCTGGTTATATTGATGAATATTTAACCTCTTTTTTTATTCAGAAAAAAATAATCTAAATTTCTATTAGGCACACAGCACCTGTAGCTTTATTGTTGATTTCAAAATTTATCGCAACAATTTTTCAAAGGTATAGGAATTCTGATAGCGATATTTGGATTAATTTAATGTTTAACGTTGCAATCTCTTTAGGGACGGAATAAAATGGTGATTTGAATGATCAAGAAACATATTTAAAAATTAGTAGGTAACTTGAACGTGAAGTAATACTTTAACAATATCTTTCATAAAAATTGCGATCGCAATTACTATCACATGTTAAATAGTTGTTGCGTAAAGTTTGTGAATATTTTTTAAATTTCAAGTTAAAAGTTGCGATCGATTTTATTATAAGACAATTAAGTCTCTGACTACAAAATGTTAAAATTTACCAAATAGAATTTGAACTTAAATGTCAATAATTAAGGTTTTAAGTGGACTCGTGAAATTCGACAGTTTTAGATTAGTCGATGTAACGACGACTTCGCAGACAAAGACTTAATATTACATTAAGTTCGTTAATTTATCTGTCTTTTCACTTCTTTAATTGTTGAGTTCGACGACTTACTTCGCTTAAGTTCTTAACAAAGGATCTCGATAATAATCAAACAGAATCTCGTTAACAAGAACCGACCCGAGTCTAATCTAGTAAAACTTTCGTCAAAACCTATATGTTACGTGTTCTCAGATAATTGAAAGTAATCTCAACCATGATTGCGCCGAAAACTTTTGTTTGTCTTTATTCAAGCAGAGTACTTTTATTATTTTGGAAATCGATGGCGTCGTGATCGATGCTTTCGCACTAAGAAACATTCATGTCAACATTGATATAAAAACTACTTTGGACTAATACTGGACGTCAGCCGTGCGATTCTGTAAAAATCCGGACCCGAATTCGAATTCACTCAGGTGTCCGCGAATTCACTTCAAAAGCGTCCCCTTAACTTTGAATTAGTAATAACTAGACATCGGATTATATGCACTATCAAAATGCCAAAATATGCACTAAAAAAGGGTGAAATATGCACAATCAAAAAACCATTTATAGTTAGAATTTACATTTATTTTAAATAAAAAATGAATTATTTTATAAATTTATAGAAAAGATAAGGAAAATTATAAAAATATAACGTATTATTATTCAGTGCTTTTATTTTTATAACAGTAAACAATAATATACTTTTCCAGGTTTTCTATAGCAAACCTGTGACGTTTATCACTCAATATCAACTTATAGGTCGAAAATGACCTTTCAACGTCAACTGACGTTACCGGACAGTACTTAAAATGACAGAGACAGAAAACTACAGAGATCTCTTCAGCAAGAGTTTGTCCGGTACCGTTGATGAATGCGTCAATTTTCTTTATCGAGTCAAGATCGGGGTTTTTATACAAAACTTTATTTAATTTGCCACGAACCTTTTGCGATATTGAACTCGGAAGGGCGTTACTTTGTTCAATCATATTTTTTAATATTTCCAAAGACTTGTACAGAGGAAGATTTTTGGTTTCAAGTTTTTAAATTGCATAGGGTATACTGCTGAAATGTGTTGCGATAAGAGCAATATTTTTTTTTATTGAAGGATCCTCAAATTCCAGCTGGCTTTAATTGATAGCAATGGCGTCTGAGCTGTCAAATGTTCCAACTACTTCTTTTATGGCTTCAAAATTGTCAGCATAAAACAATACAGCATCTAACCAAGTTCCCCACCGTATTAATTTTGGTTCTGGGGGTAGTTCGCCCTGCAAATATGCAAATGCATATAATCCGATGTCTAAAAATAACGTTTCATGGCATAAGTGAAATGAGTTTATCTGAGACACGTTTGAATCAATCAATCTTGTTTTGTATTTTTATACAAAAATGGAATCAATAGAATTTCTACACTATATTATATAAATCCGGACACAGGAGTGAATTCGAATTCGGGTTTGGCTTTTTACAGAATCGCTCTGCAGGTAGATGTTTCAATAGAAAAATCCAATTAATTAAAACGCCATTGATATGCCATTACTACGTTAACATTAGCAAAGTTAAGACGAAAGTTTACAAACATTTACGATTCATCATATTAATTTTGTTTAAATTTTCCTAACAATTATTTCTCATGAATTTGATTTTATTATTAACTAAGTACTAATTTTTTAGGTAAGTTGTGCATAGGGAATAAATATCCACATAGCATCTCATTTTATCCCTCAGTATTTCGTCAGGAACAGGACTCTCGATTGTTCCTAAAATTTAATTTTTTATTTTTCAGACATAAACGTAGTTAATTATGCACTCTTCAACCAGATGACTCTGCTACTTGTGAAATGATCCTTATTATTTCGCAGTTACAACTTATTTCTGTTTCTAAGAAGTTCCTTTCCAGTAACTTTATCCAACAATGCCAATTTGTTGAGTCTATTAATTGACTAGTCGAGGAGTTATAACAGTATTGTGTACTTCTTGATTAGTTAGAAAACATTTTATTAGCACGCTCCTTGATGGAAGTTTTAGAAATAATGTAACAAAATATTATAAAAAAAAAACACCAGCGTGAAAAACAACTAACTGAAAATGCTGGAACAAGATAGAAAATATGCAACATAATGCATGTTCTGTAATGATGCTATAGCTTTTTTTTTAATTATAATTTTATTTATGTCTTTTTTAGTTAGACAGATTACCAGGTTGGTTCAGAAAGTGAAAGAACAAAGTCCATTTTAAGCATTTTTTATAAATAATATTTTTCAATATAGTGTATTGAAAAATATTATTTTGTGAATGCAAAATTGTTCAAATATGATATTTTTAAACTTTATCATTGAATTATTTTTGTTAGTATTATGGTAAAAATAATTATGGTATAACTATTTGGAATCCATATAATATAATTTAATACCCATATTGTAGTATTCGAAACAAAAAAAAATATCATACAACTAATATTATAGAGGGAAAGTTTGTAGGTATGGATGTTAGAACATTTATTACTTCTTCGCGCAAAAAATACTGAACGCATTTTGATGAAATTTGGTAAAGGCAATTCTAAGTCTGAATTAACATATATATTAATAAAAGTATTATTCCACTTAAAGGTTTCCTAGGAATATTTTTGCCCATCTTTTATCCCTCCAAGAGAGACTATTTTTGTGAACGTTACCTAAATGGTATACGAAACGTTACCTAAGAGATATACGAATGCTTTCTAAAAAAAAGGTTGGAGGGCTCTAAATCGGCCTTTTTATAGATAAAGCCCGATTATGTCACAAAAATATTAAAAAAAACTTCGTTTAAGTGTATTTAATTTTTTTGGCCGTCTTTGAACGTTTATTTGAGTAGGTGACATTAAATCTTTATCGAAATAAATATGCTTATTGTCAAGGAAATTTAATGTAAGTAAAAATTGTCTTTTACAATAAATAAATTAGATGAGTAACTTAGATTTTACTACTATTTTGTGTGCATGTATGTATTACTTTTCAACGGCATTTTTTAAATATATTCTATAACATTTAAATTCGTAAGGACTGTACTAATTATATTATTGTTTTACCAATAAAAATAATTAAATCAACGATGGTTCAGTGAGCGTAACATGAAACACCTATTCAAGATTAGATTGGCAGTCTACATACCCAAGAAAATTTTCCGAAATATGGTACGGTATTGTATGATATTGACGGCTGTGAGGGACCGCGTAACTACATTGACTTCGATTTGGTTGCCATCCGATTGCGATCAATGTTCAATATATATTGTTAGATCACATTTGTTAAATTGATCTAATAGCTCTTTTCCGAAGCACAAAAATCGTTTGGATGTCAGCAGCATTTCCCTACAACATGTTTTATACGAATATGAACTGAAGTAGTATGAAGTATGTCTGAAGTATGAACAGTAGATATACCGTCTGTTTGGACAGAAAGCTTTGTCTGAAGCACAAAAACCATTGAACGGATCCGTAGCGATTTTCACTACTATAAAAATTTACGTTAATTAATGAAGATTATAGGTCTCGGCAAAAATGAAGCCGAGTTTATGGGAGATTACTCCACAACCATAGCACGCGATTCACCAGCCAGTACCTAAACCATAGCGGTATGAAAATATGAGCGACTGCACAAAACGACTATCTGTATGATTTACAGCGGGGTCTTAGTAATAGGGTCACTTTTTTACCCTTTGGGTATGGAACTCTACAACGTTATTCACTACAAAAAATCTTCTCTCTCAAAAAAGTTACAATTCCATCGATAAGGTAACTAATATCGAGGAAGCAGTATAATACTATACATATTTTTGTTAAGTCAACCTCCTCCGGAAAGAAAGCTCAAACCTCCTTTTCGTATTATTATTGAAAATAGGTACGTTAACATACTTTGCAGTATTTTAACTTTTACTTAATTATGTGTTAAGGGCTAAAAGATAATTTTGTTGTAGAGGCTAGATACCAAGATAACCACCCTCTCGAAATACCATCAGAATTAATTAATAAATTCCAGGAATAAACCTTCGTTTTGGCATCAATCTTAAGAAGTAGGTACCAAGAGTTGTGATATTTTCATTAAATAATAGATATTGAGAGATTTTATACCGGAATCTTACTCATGAATTGGGAAATCATCATCATAACTTATATATGCTTCTACTTTACTTTAAAACCAATAATTCGTTTGTATATTAATTTTAAAAAGATGCAGATTTGAAGAAAACTTGGAGCACAAACCACTTTAAACTAATATAAGTAATTATAAATTCAATAAACTCAATTTTGATTGGGACTAAGACATAATGGCAAACATTTTACAAGTCCGATTTCAAATGAAGTTTGAATTTGTAAAAATAAGAAATATTTTACTTCCTTTTCTTTAAACCATCTTATAAGCATTCATAAAATATTCTTAATGACTAAATTAAAAACAAATGACGACTAATTTTAATTTAATAATTTAAGCAGATGACTTTTTAAAGTATTTTTATATAAGATGAAACTTTCGTGTATATCACGATTTACAACACCAAATGGCGTCATAAAAGTAGAACGAACTAATTCCACGCCCGTGTGAGTTTATAAAATAAGCCAATTTGTTTGATAAATCGAAGTATTTTTTGTTATATTTCACTTCATTGAAATGAGAATCTTTTCGTTTGCATGGCTGCATATTTTTCATGA